CCTACAAATATCATTGTTGCCTTATTTAGACAAGAAGCCTTAGTCCTCTTTTACTTCGGGCTTCATGGACTTGGATCTTCTGTGCTCAAAAGCATAGATGCTATCATGCTACTGCATTTTCTAGTAGAAACTTAACATTAGAATCACGACCCCATTGGGTGTTATTTACATAGAGGTCTTCAAATCTACCAAATTCCGCTTGCAAAGGCCAGAGCTTCAAAACTCTATTCAACCAAAAATAAAAGCTATTTACGTGGTTCTCAAAACCACAGATTCTTTCAACACCAGTAAGACCGCTAGAAATTGATGAATTTTCATTAATTTCAATAGCTAAATGTATCTATATATGCGACAATGTTTCTTTTGCTTTGATTTTTCTAATGGAAACACCGTCTAAAATTTCTATTAATGAACCATGACAGTGAACATTGATCGAGTTTTCATAAAAGAAGAGGCAGTCTGAAATATAACTTCACAATATCATAACAGAGGATTTCCAAGGATGGTATTATGAAGATAGAAGTGGCAAGAAGTGGCATCAAAGGCACATTGCTCGGTGCCGCTCTATTTTTGGAGGTAGGTTGTTGGCTCTACGAGGGAACTCAACACGAGACTCATTCATGCTGCAAAGAACGCTAAACGAATTTCTGAGTTTGCTGCTGCAGTTGTCATTCTTCCTGCAGCGTCGAACTCTTTCTTTGGGAAGAAGGCACTGCTGAAAGATTTGGAAGTGCTACCACTTTGGCTCCGCCGATTGGAGTCATTTGGTGCTGTTGCTACTGTTGAGATCGAATTGAAGCTGGATGCAAACATAGGAGCTGATATCATGGCTGGAGTAGGCGGTGTGACACGTGCTACAGGTGGTGTGTAAGAAATAATTATACTACATTGAATTGAAAACAACCCTCTAGCTTTGAAGTATATTACTACATAATAGGAATGACATCCATAAGTTACAAACACTCCAGCCTTATTGCAAGCCAATATTTGTACACACACAAATGATCAATATATAAATGGTATGAATTACAGAAATTCACACAATTTCAGCATCTACTTTATAGAGCTAGAAAATATGTGGCAAAGGTAGAGGCAGGAGAAGTAGCAAAATGGAGGTTTTAAGGAACAACATTTGTCACCTTCCTTCCCCAATAATGTCACTGAATTTAGTGATATTCAATGGAGAAGCCTCCAGCTCTATACCTGGATTAAGATTATTCTTGTTCTTGTTATCACTATGCTCAGATCCAGTAGACAGTGTGTTTTCAGCCTCAATGCTGGATGTTATGTCCTTAAAATCCCAGTCAGTTAAATAACTTGGTTTTGATGCAACAGGGCTCGCTTCGATATCCCCAGCAAGCATAGTTACAACCCTCGACATGGGTGGTCGCATCATTGGTGATGCTTGTGTGCACAGGAGTCCCACTGTTATCATTCTTAAAGCTTCATTTTCATCAAACTCTACTAGGGTTGGATCCAACAGACCTAGACTTTGGTTGCTTTCATACAGAGTCCATGCCTAGAAACATTGTATAAGTAAATCTCACGCAGAAGGAATGTGTCTAACTGTCTATATAGAAGGAAAAAAAGAAAAGAGTTTCTTTCTTTACCCATTCAAGAAGATAGATCTTGTCGTTGTCCTGGCTGTTCTCAGAGTTTGGTCTTCCACTGACAATTTCCAAAGCAACTACACCAAAGCCAAAGACATCTGCCTTCTCAGTGAGATGGCCACGCATTGCGTACTCTGGTGCCAAATAGCCACTGCCAATATTGCAATTAAGCAATTAAATTTGCATGTTCAAGGTTTATTGAGATGATTTCTCTATCTATGATACTAAGTCCCTGGATTCCGATGATGGTTTGATGCTATGAAATGTAATAACATATATGAGCCACAATATAATGCAAATAAGCATTTAGAAATAGATACAATTTTGATACGGTGATTCAAGGAGCTTACATGGTTCCTGCAACACGGGTGCTGATATGAGTTTTCTTATCATCATATAGCTTTGCCAATCCAAAGTCAGATATTTTCGGACACAGCTCAGCATCAAGCAAAATGTTACTTGCCTTCACGTCTCTGTGTATGATCCTTGGCCTTGATTCCTCATGAAGATAAGCTAGTCCCCTAGCAGTTGCCAAGCAGATACTGAAGCGGGTTGGCCAATCAAGATGCAAGTCTTTTCTTCCTGCATATGTCAAAGAGGCAGGAAATGTTATGGATAGTAATTAATTTGGTGAAGAAATGAATTCAGATGCAGATATGTTTCATTTTCCTGCATAAGGGC